ACAAATTCATGGAATAAAATATACTATTTTTTTCGGAGCACATCTCTGCCACTCGCATAACATACTGTTCCTCCAGTTCCTCCTTATGGCTACACTTCGGACCTAATTTTGCACTCAAATGAGTGAAAAAAAAACTTTTTACTTGTGTTGCAATACTTTATTATACAACTGTTTGCGAGAGAGAGAGAGAGAGAGAGAGAGAGAGAGAGAATGTTATTTCATATCAACTTCTCTCCCAACCATTTGCTTCTGTTTCAACGAATGAGTAGAAAAAACTCATATTTTCTTTTTAAAATGCCTGTCCCTAAAGGAAATGGTATTAAAAAATAGAGTAAATCTGCGTTGAGTGAGCGATGACTATGTTTTTTGGGGCTATTTTTTGGTTACTCTCTGCATCCCATCCCTCCTGTTCCCTAAAACATCTTTTTTGCTTCTCTTTAAATATAAATTAAAAATAAAATACAACCGTATAGTGAAGTGTATGTAACTTATGTATCAAACAGTGTGATTGAAATCCGAGTCCTATTTTAGTATTAAAAACTTCATCGCAAGAGAGGGTCTCTCACCGACAAAATTGTGACATAAAATCACTAGTTTTTTGTGTTGTGTGTGACATACAAAAAATATACTAGTATATGCCTTATGCCTGATACCAAGTCTTATATAATTGAAAAATAAACTTAAAGTTTATACACAATTCGGTGTGAATTTTCGGAAAAGTTGTGGAAAAATCTTAAATCGACACAAAATAAGTAGTTTTTTGACTCCAAGAAACTTATAGAAGTGTCCAAAAAGTTTTGTTTCCAAAAGTTAAGCTAATTTTTCACCTGTTTTTCTCATACGAAAAAAATATATCGAAAATCTTTTCGCGTCGATATATAATATAATGAGAACCTGGAGGTAGTTTAGGAGGTGCGCACACACCTCAAAGAGCGTACGGCTTTTTATGCACCACTAGTCATCAATTGATGCCATATTATAGCTTATATTGAAAATTTAAATCTCCTCTTCTTTCACCTCCCTGTGCCCGTCTCACTCACTCACACTCCCTGTGCTCTACCAGAGTATTGTAGACAACATATACACACGAGAAAGAGGATGGGTTTATGATATTGTGTGAGAGAGTGAGTGAGTGAGTGAGTGTGTGAGCACACAATCTTTGGTCAATTTTTTTGCAGAGAGCGTCAAAAGAAATTGTCCCCAACTTTTGAGAAGTGTGTGCCAGTGTCTCGAGCAGTTCCGTTCCCTTACTACCAGTGCCACACCAGTCAGTGCCCGAATGTGTCGCCCTTACGCTATGCTCTCAAACTGCTTCTTTAGCAAAGCTTCATCGGCTTCCTGTCCAGATGTCCTGTCCTGCCATATGAGAGCCTACATAGACATACACACACTTACTCTCTATCAGCTGTAAGAGAGAGAGAGAGAGAGAGAGAGAGAGAGAGAGAGAACACAATCAAGATTTATATATTGAATATTATATACATTACATCTTCCTTCTCAGAGTAATCAACTATTTTTCGGTGTAAAATAAAGTGAATATATGATAAAAGCTTTCATATGATATCTCATGGCTCTCTCTTTCTCTCTCTCCTCTCTCTCTCTCTCTCTCTCTTCCCTTTTTACTATTTCATTCACTGACTCTCTCAATGAAGTGTTACATAATCGGTGGCCAACTATTGGGTGAACACCACATACATAGGAATGGACTTAAATATTGCAAAGTTGTTTCACATTTAAAAGCATGTATTTTTGGGATATATTTAAATGATAGTCGAGTGCAGAGGAAACAGTTGCCATTTCCCACGACATTATAACTCTTTGCAGTTCCTGTTTTTTGCCATATATTATAATACACGTTAATAAGTAGTGAAAAATTATGGGAGCTCTCTCTCTCTCTCTCTCTCTCTCTCAACGGATAGTAAATATTGAAATATTTTAAAACCCATTTTATACAGTGTATAAATGTTTGCATAAATATGATCCACATTTAAAGAGGTGCCCCTGTCCATATGAATGAATATATTAAGCATAGCATTAATTATAGTTATTTCGTATTCATTGGACTCCCCTTTCCATTCGTTATACGAAAATAATTTACTGCTCTATTATAATAGAAAATCATTTCTCTTATCTGATGAACAAAACTTTTATTATCGGTTTAAAATAAATTTTATAACATTTTTTCTCACTCTCACTTTATTATATAATACGATATTATAAATGCAAACCACAAATAGGTAATTGTGTGCTGTTTTCTATACAAAAACATTTATTTAGATATACTGTGAAGAAGTTTCTCAAATATATTGTTTGTGTGTTTTGTGTTATTCAATGAAATAATTATTTCGCTGATAAGTTTGTTTTTACAATAGATTGGGTGGAGATTTTATTTTAAATATTTAAATGCTTTATGTTTTATTCATTTAAGTGGTGGTATAATATTTCACGTATTGTTATACCTATTTTCACATAATACCATGTGTGTAATTAAAACAAACAATATTAACAAACAAAAAAGTTTCAAATTGTATTTAATTATTTTCACCTAATATTTAATGAATACATTAAGTCTATTGATAATAATATCTTATGTCATATTCTTCATCATTAAATATTTCTTATAATAATATGTTTTTTGAAAACATATTTTTCTCTAATAATTTCTATCGCGTTATAAATCATTAGTTATTTTTCTATTTATATATAAAAACATTTTTAAAACACATTTCCATTTATTGGGCAAAAATATTTTAGACAAAATTCTCGATAAGAATCTATGAAATGATGTGAAAAAAATATTTCGGGAAAAAAGTCTTTTATATTCGTTAAGAATATATATTTTGACAGAAAATTTCAATAGAGATATATCTCTCTGAGAGATGCATTGAACGAAAAAATAATACAACAAATATCTGAACTTTCGATTTTAAGTGGAAAAAACTTTTTTAATTGTTATTTCGCTCTTAAATCTGATAATAAGAGTGGCGTAAAGGTCTTCAATCAAAATGCATTTCCGTTGTATGCGGTTGTGTTGGTGTTTGCAATACTTTTTTCATACACTTTCCAACAGCACTGTTATCTCATTTGCATTCGCTATACAATTATCAGATATGTATCTCTCATTCACTGAGTTGTAGGAAACAAAGGCATTGTATTGAATGGTATGCCAACTGTTAAGTGTCATATCAATTGTGTGTCATTATCGAGATGTCATGGCACAGGCAGTCCCTGAGCCGTTCAGATCGGTGTGTATGAGCTGTGCATTGGTGTCGATAAGAGGCACACAAAATAAATATTGCGTTTTTCCACTCGTATCCCAAACACACACACAACATATCATAACAATCCTTACATAACCGTATATACACATAGGATGTATTACAATGAAAAAGTGTAATATAATGCACAGAATATATATTGCCGGGGTATAAATATAAATCGCTATAATATTGTTTGATAATTGATATGTGGTTTTCCGGGCGCACTCGTGACCACCGTTTGCACAAACGCTTACACCTCTTACACAACAACCAAATAAATAGCAAAAATCTTTACAGCAATTATTGCGGGGAATAAATAAATAGAGTAAATGTCTTAAGCATAGAGTGCAAGAGAATTAGTCGAAAAGTAAATGTGTTTATCGTTTTTGACTAAAAAATCTTTATAACAAACAATAATAATAGAGTATTTCTACTCTCCATCTCCTCCTTAACCTCTAATAGCCGTACAATTGTTTACATTAGAGACTACATGTATGGCACAGATGGTTAAGAGTAACCGAAAAAAAACTCTATTAGAGTTACTTATAATTGGGATAAGGATGTATCGGAACTCGTAAGGCAAGCACCGGCACGTACCGGTGCCCTCAGCCACACGTTCATACGTGCCTTATATTTGCGAATTTGCGTTTTCTATCAGCATATAAATAATGGCATCAAAAAACAGTTTATGTATTGTAATGCTGTGGACAGACAACGGACCACTTGTTATACTGATTTGCACTGAGGTTTCAAGTGCTCATTGGGTGCACACCGGGTCTTAATATATACAGCCGGCTGTCCCGATATACTGTATATACCCCGATGTCTAACGTCAGTCCAATTGTCGATACAATACTTGTCTTATGGAGCCGGAGATCCAGATGTATGGGCACTCTTAGCGCAGAGGAAAACGTCTTTTTTCTGAGGGGAAACCTCTGCCACCACTCTCTCAGTACCCAAAAGGAAATCTTTTCATTATTATCGCGAAATGTCTTTTTATTCTTACTCTCAGTATTTAACAGATATCCACTCTCTTTAGGGTGAGGTGAAGGTATCGGTGATACGGTGTATGTGTGCTCTACCAGTGCACCACTCTATGCCCGGTATATATCGTATGTATAGCAATGTCTGTTCACTGCAGAACCGCATCTGCAGTTTTGTTGCACTACTTCTCGGACTCATTGCCGAAGTAACACATAAGAGGGGCAGAGAGAGAGAGAGAGAGAGAGAGAGAGATGCGAGAGAGCACAGGAGAGAGGTTAGACAAAGACATGGAAAACACACTACCATTCCCCTCCGGGTTCTTATTTCTGTTGCTTAGCCCTCTCTTTCAAAGTTCTCTCTCTCTTTTCTCCACTGTTTTGTCTTCTCTCTCTCCTTTTCTCTCTCTTATTCTCTCTCTCATACTCTCTTATTCATGTGTCTCTTATGTTCCGGTGAGCAGCCGGTGTGGACGCGTGCAACGTGTTGTTGAGACGCGTGCGGACCTCTTGACAGCTGCCTATTACTACTGGTGCCCAAACACACACCATATTGCAGATTGTGTGCCACAATTAAGCCAACCCTCACCAGCGTATGAGCGGCGCAGCCAACAGCCGCACCACACATCCACTTCCAGTCCGTTCCCTTCTGAGGCTCCCTTTCCCCCTACCGTTCCCCTGCACTCTCAGCGCGCATGACCCGCACTGTAAGACACTACTCGTATGCCGTTTCCACCACTCATTCATTCACTCATTCAGTGATTCAGTGCCACTACAGGCGACACATGCGATAAGAAACGCCAAAAAACTTTTTGCGAAATACAAAATCTTTTCAAAAGTTTTTCAACGCTATCACTAAATAATACGATATTTTTGTTGGCTTTTAGTTTTTGCGGACAACTTATACCCCGTATCTGTCGACTGATATACCACTGGACACCGACTGAAGTTGTTTTTACAGCGCTTTTCAAGTGATTTGTTGTGTGTCTTAGAAATGATGATCTGTTTGTGTGCTGTGTTATGATCGCCACATATGAGACAACATCGGCAGCCAATGTGTGTTATATGATTGTCACCAATAGCTGGATGTGTTTTGTGTTGTATGTGTGATATTACTGCCGCCACTCACGAGGTTTATCGGCCCAGAAATGGTCCACAAGACGAGGACTAACCAGACATCCCTATCAGCCATGAGATTGATTAACAAACTATTGTTCACCGCTTTTCTGATACTTAATTCATATCATCTCAATGTAAGTGTGGTTTTACTTTTGTGTCAAATATTTTCTCTCTCTCTCTCTCTCTCTCTCTCTCTCACTAACCCTTTGAAGTTTACCGCTTAATGAAAAGATTTTTTTACACTTACAGTATATGTAGTGAAAAAAGTTTGTTTCATTCACATTGTAGGCATGCTTTTGGTGATTGAGAAAAAAGTTTTTAAAAAGTTTTGTACAAATGAATGAGACTTACGTTCGCAGGCTATAGGCGCCCTCTATGGGCCATATGCCAGGGGATTAAGGACTGAATGAATATTTTTGAAGTTTTTTGATTTTAGTGTTAGAAATTATTTATGTGATCAAGATTAGTTTTAATTATTTTTATTATTTATTTATTTGTAACTTATAGGGATTAAATGTTTTTATGGTACAGAAGTTTTATAGTTTTTTTTAAACTAAACTATTGATTAGATTATTTGGATATACATTTGATTTAGAGTTAGTATTTTTTATTTAATTAAATTAAAACAAGTTTTAAAAATTATTTTTTATATTTTAGTTAATATTAATAATTATTATAATTATATTTATGAGAAGTTTTAATCAGATTTAACTCGGAATCTATAAAATCAAATCAATTTCAATACTAAAAACACTTAAATATAATATCCTATGCCAGGTATACCTATGAATAGTATCGCTTATCTGTCAAATAAGTTTCATCTGGGTATGTTTGTGGCCAGATATGTGTTTCGGGTGGGGATGTCTATGATTTCTTCACAATATTAGACCATTTGATTGAATGTAATTAAACCCATACCTCCTATATCCAGGTGCTGGCGTCGGGTGTCTTCGAGTTACGGCTGGCGTCGTTCGCCAACGACTTGAGTCGGGACGCGATCGGCAACTGCTGTGGGAATGCCCTGAAAGCCGACGGATTTAATAATAACAATGAAAAGTGTGGCGAAAAGTGTCAAACATTTTTTCGCGTCTGCCTTAAGCACTATCAGACAAATATCGACCCCTCGCCTCCCTGTACTTATGGGGAGGTCATCACCAATGTGTTCAACGAGTCGTCCATCAATTTTAAGGATATTACCGTCGATCACACCATACGCTTTCCGTTCAACTTCTCGTGGCCGGTATGTGTCTGTCCACCGATTACCTACCTTTCCTTATATGACTTTTGTCTAAACTATACTGAACCCCAAAAACTATACCAAACTTTGACTAAACTCTCAAACCATTACTAAACTATTATTTATGAATTTATTTTCGCGTATATATCGTATATACTGTACAACACTTGTCCCACTCATTCACTATACTATTATTATTACCATAAACTCTATCCAAACAATTAATGCCAAAGAATTTCTCATTACTTTTTGTTTGGCATACCGTTCCCCACTATCCCTCTCTCCCGATATCTCAAATTTCATTAACTTAATTGAAACGCTTATTAATTATCTCAACAATTTTTATTGACTTTGTTTTCAACCGTTGTTTTCTCCGTTGCTGTCAATATTAGGGTACCTTTTCATTGATAGTGGAGGCCTGGCATAACGCGTCGGCATCATCATCATCGCTGTCGACATCGTCTCGAGGTATGTCTGAAAACTATTTTTTATTATTATTTTTCAAGTCTTTCGCTTGACTTTACTTTAAATAATTTAAGTGTTTTTAAGCGATTCGCTGTGTTTTCTACCTATTTTTTCTGATACCTGCATACATGCTATACTGTACTGTAATCTACGCTACTGTGTATGTATGCCTATCCTCCAGAAGCTGTGCCTAACTTTCAGTCTCTGACAAAATTAGTTAAACGCCTCCTTAGACGTAGAGTTAGTGCTCTCTCTCTCTCTCTCGCTCTCTCTCTCTCTCTCTCTCTCTGCTCCTGAATTCGTTTATACTGTATATATAATATATTCTGTATATATATCTCACAGTCAGTTCCCGAACAAGTGTTGTGTTAGTGTGGGAACGTAGCCCCGGGTGTTTTTGTACTTTTCGTACGCTCTCTCTCTCCCCCTCTCCTTCTTCTTCTCAGTGTTGTTCAGAGTCGACGTCTTCTTGACTACCAGTGCCTGTACTGCCCTTAAAGTCTGGTTCTTGTGATCCATAGCTACGATAAAAAGAGCATTTGTGGGATATATACGATAGATATATAATATTTCTTAGCCCTCAGTGCCAGACCCTTAACCCCCATCACTACTACCCAGTGCATGGCTACCGCCACCACTACCACTGCCTACTACTGCCCAAAAAACTATCGCCAACAGCCATACCATACCGACTACTCTGCGCTTCCGACTAACGAAGCCAACACTTAACGAAAAATATCTCATAGTTTTAGTTAGAGAGGGGAGTGTGTCGTCCCATACCTGTCCCATATCTATTGAAAATTGAGAGAGAGATGAGGGCATACCTTCATTACCGACATTATAGACATTATATAGTCTTCGGAGAGTTTATCTGACTGTGCGCTCACTCACTATAATCTCCTTTAATTAAGACTAAGACTAGCGATCATTATATACAATATATGGGACGCAGAGGTCCGTCACACAAATGACTCGTAATTTTGTTGTGAGACTTAGGACTTAAATACCGATAATTACAATAAGAATACATATAATTCCTCGAAGTCTTTAATACCAACTTAATGGATAGGAAGGGCTATTAATGGCGTGTACAGCAGTTGTGCGAGAGCCCATGGCTTAGGCTACCGGTGCTCAGGCATAGGCCCCTCAAACGTCAGTATTATATCCTTGGTTTAATTTGTGCTCAAGTAACTCACGACCATCTGTCGCTGCCATACAATCACTTACGCATAGGACAGGGCTTTCTCTCTCTCAAACTTTTTCTAAAAGACTTTTAAGCCAAGGCTTCTCACCTTCACCTCCAAACACACTCTCCACTCATTCTCTCAATATATCCATAAGTTTAGGGTCCACTTCCGTGCCCAACCATCCCATCCCATCCCTATAGCCACTAACTATACTACGACAGAGTCCTCGCAAACACTAATAGTGTTTTGATATTCAAATCTTTATGACGAGTGGTGTTTTCGGGTCCGCAAACACTGACTGAGACCTACTTTTATTACCTATTCGTTAGGGATCTCTCGCTCTTTTCCATTCACTCCATTAGCCCTTATATTTATGTCTGTGTATAGGAATACATGCAAAACAAAACCGAAAAGTGAGTCAACTTTTTTTATCGAGAGAGAGAGAGAGAGAGAGAGAGAGAGAGAGAGGTTGTTATTCAGGATCTGATTTCTTTGCGATAATTTATTTATATTGAGAAAAAAGATACCGAAAGAGCGCTTCTAATATATTTTGATTGAACAGCGATTTTATATTTCACTCATACCTTCAGATTCTTGAAGTGAAAAAATAAAGAGAGAAAAAAAAGTTTTTCGTTTTCTACTGAACGAAGCGATTTTTTGTGTTCAAAAAAGCATTTAATGTAATGATTATAATATTTTTTAATGCCTTTCCGATCCATTCAAGCGAAACATAATAATAAAAAGTATATAAGTTTTCTCTCTTTCTGTCTCTCATAGATAAACGAGTAATTAATATAATGAATATCTTTTGGTCTCCAAATACACTCTTACTCTTGAGTTTTTAGTTTTAGTTTTTTTTCTCTCTCTTATGCCATGAATTTGATTCGGTTTTTGAATTATTCGCTTAATTTTTAACATTCATTTCTCTGTGGACTAATACTTTTCGTTTACTTAATAGTTATTCTCTCAGTTGCTATTCATTTCGATTTTCATTATAAAGTCATTTCTCTTAAACCATTTAATACTCCTAAAAACCACTCAATTATATACAGTTTATGCCCACTATTACGAACAAAACGGATGCAAAATATCGTCACATAAAAGTTATATAACAATGAGAGTGAAATTAAATGTTAAGAAAATTAGTACAAATATAAATACCAGATTAAATTGGACAATATTTTAAAATTATATTAATATTTGTTAAGAATATACAACAGTATTAAGTGGGTGTTCATAATAGTGAGCGCACACTGTGTGTGTATACACTAAAAAGTTTTTAATAAAATAGTTTGGGAAGAAAAAGTATTTTATGAGTCGAAAGAATTTTGAAAATATTTTTTTGTTGTTAACATTGAACCTGAAAAAGGATATATAAAATATCTTTTTTTATTTTTCTCTCTTTCTCTTGAATTTTAGTTATCTCTGAAAATCTCATAATTAGTCCTTAATTCTCTCTCTCTCTCTCCATGTCTTTCCCCCCTTCGCTACCGAAAACTTTATTCAGGCTCTTGTGCTAACTCGACATTAAAATTATGAAAAAGACGAGTCTCTCTCTCTCTCTCTCTCTCTCTCTCTCTCTCTCTCTCTCGTCGACGACTGTATGTGAGAAATAAGTCGGCAATAATTTTAAGACTGAATTATTTTCTATCACTCGCTCGCACACACACACTATACCCTACCAGTGCTCTGCTCTTTATGTGTGTGAACAGCCACTTGTAATACGTGGCGAACCGTAGTTCCTGGACGGGCACAGTATGTGAGTGCGCGCCCACCACCGCATACATTGTCTTCGAGAATTAAGTCTAATTTTTTTGCTCTTTTTCCCACTTATTCTCTACGGGAAAGACAAGGTTCTCGACTCCATATACACACCGAAAATCATATAAAACTTATAATCGCAGACATAATACAAATCACTTTTATTTGGGTAGAAATATTTTATCTCGTATTTAGTTTTTATTTAGTTTTTCGCAAACTTTTGATATTCAAAATCATGAAACTATGTTTGCCATTGATTTGACTATTTTTTATTATTTGTTTGTCGACCTGAGAGAGAGAGAGAGAGAGAGGGAGAGAGAGAGTGAGTGAGGGGACAGTAGTCATGTTGCATAACATATACACACCAATCATAAGCTTATCTATTAATAAAGTTTGACATCAGAGAAGTTTTTGTCATTCAAGCATTTATTTAGTTCGTTAACTATGGGATAGTTTTTTGGTCACAAAAACACATACCATATCTGTGCCGATAATTATACAAATATCTCTGACTCTAAGGCATTTAAATTCAATTATTTTTGTTTTTCGCTTTTCGTCCGAAAAAATTCTTTTGAACCGAAAAAAAGATATTTCTCTTTGACTTTGACTTTGCCTTTACGTATGATTTGTTTGTTTAGCGCACTGTATATAATGTATAATATATTGCCATTCATTACAATATTCACTTTTATCGCAAATAACTAATCAATTATTCATTTCTTGCATTCAATTCATTATATTCCGTGCCATTGGATACGACAGGCGTTACGGAAACCAGGACCAGGACACTAATTACGCGCCTGGCTATGTCCAGGTATCTCAAAGTGGACACCAAATGGACGCAGAAGAGCGCCCACAATAACCACACGTCCCTTAACTACCAGTACCGGGTGGTGTGTGAGGAGGGCTACTTCGGCGACTACTGCGACACCCACTGTAAGCCCCGGGACGACTCGTACGGCCACTACGGGTGCGGTCTCAATGGCGACAAGCAGTGCAACCCGGGCTGGCACGGCATCTACTGCGACAAAGGTATGTACAGTAATCACACCTGTCTTTTATGAAATAGTTTTTTATGTTGAGAAACATTTCTATACTTTATTTGTTATTCAAATACTCTCCGTTCAAAATGTTACAATCAATTGTGCGAGTTCAAAATGATATGAACTCTAAAAATAGTCACAATTTCTTATTTCTCGATCGCATACATAATATAAATATATAAATCAAAAACTAATTGTATGATTGATGGTATAATTCAATTGTATTTCTCGCTGAATGAGTGCAAAAATTCCTGCCGGCTGTCAATCAATCACTAATTTAATTCATATATAATAATAATAATAATATATTGGATTCACTACATTGACTAATTGGCGTTTTATTTGTTTTAATCGCAATTCACAGCTATTTGTAGAGCGGGTTGTAATTCAACTAATGGCGAGTGCACCCAACCCAACGAATAGACTCGTACGGCCACTACGGGTGCGGTCTCAATGGCGACAAGCAGTGCAACCCGGGCTGGCACGGCATCTACTGCGACAAAGGTATGTACAGTAATCACACCTGTCTTTTATGAAATAGTTTTTTATCTTGAGAAACATATTTCTATACTTTATTTGTTATTCAAATATTCTCCGATCAAAATGTTACAATCAATTGTGCGAGTTCAAAATGATATGAACTCTAAAAATAGTCACAATTTCTTATTTCTCTATCGCATCATAATATAAATATATAAATCAAAAACTAATTGTATGATTGATGGTATAATTCAATTGTATTTCTCGCTGAATGAGTGGAAAAATTCCTGCCGGCTGTCAATCAATCACTAATTTAATTCATATATAATAATAATATATTGGATTCACTACATTGACTAATTGGCGTTTTATTTGTTTTAATCGCAATTCACAGCTATTTGTAGAGCGGGTTGTAATTCAACTAATGGCGAGTGCACCCAACCCAACGAATGCAAGTGAGTACCGCTTTCGGGACATACATCCTAAATATATATTTAGATATATTTTATTCAGTGGTTAACATGTATTTAATGCCTTTCATCCACTCGTGTGGGGATGACTTGCAATGAAAATATACAGACAAAAAAAAGCTACTGAAAACACTCGCTATCTATTTGTTGTATAATTTGAAATCTGGATATAATTATATATTTCTCTCTTTACAACTCATTCACACAGTTGTCGATACGGATGGGAAGGCCATAACTGCAATCAGTGCACTAAATACCCGGGCTGTCTGCACGGCTACTGTTCCAAGCCGTGGGACTGCCTGTGCCAGGAGGGCTGGGGTGGACTGCTCTGCAATCAAGGTATGTTTATTTGGATGTTTATTTACACCGCACACACACTCCAAGTATAAAAACTAATCGATTGTTTATATTTCAATAAAAAAAAGACTTGAATTACTGCACAAACCATAAGCCCTGCAAGAATGGTGGCTCGTGTACGAACACCGGCCAGGGATGGTATACATGCGACTGTCCTCTGGGATACACCGGCAAGAATTGCGAGCAGGAGATCGATAGTTGCGCTCACAATCCCTGCGCCAACGGCGCGACGTGTAAAGTAAGTGTCGGCTATTTTTCACTGTAGTTCCCCTGAACTGAATTAACAAAAACACTGAATCAAATGACAACACACACGATACCCCAATGCATATACCCCGGTGCTCACTATTCCCAACGCATACATTTAAATGTGAGACTAATGTAATGGACAGGACAGGTGGCTCAGAGGCTATTGAAAACCCTTATTGCATATACAATAACAGAGTCATCTTATTCTATGTCTTTCCATCCTATGTCTATCTACCAGTGCTGATAGAAAACTGTTTATAAACATTGATCTAAATTACTGGTCAATGGTATTGTCGGCACATCTGCTGCCCCTAAGCATTGCCTACAAATTGATTGCTTTTATCTATTATAACACAAAAAAGAAGTCAAACTCTTATTTGGCAATAAAATCGACAGAAAATATAAGACTGTTTGCAAAGACAGCTGATTATTGTCTGTAAGAAAATAATCCGTTTTAAGCGAGTGTTATGTGTGAGAGAAGGGCAGCTGCCCCTACCGGTGCCCTATTCACGCCAACATACACTATGTATTGTGTGTATTTTTCTAGATTTCTTTACTGTCAATATGTCTGTCCATCAATTGTCATACATATGAGAGCACAGGCATCGACCGCACGCTTTGGTCCAATAATTTGCTAATAAGTTAAATGAACGCCAAATGTATAGCAATAATGAAATGAAAGGCACTTTTCTGGGAACAACTCGTGAGAGATCTATCACTTCATAACAATAACTAGACATGAGTTTATTAAAAAATTTATTCTCTCTCTCTCTCTCTCTCTCTCTCTCTCAACGCGAAGACAAATTGTAGGCAACGAATAGGAAAAGTATAAGAAGTAATGGATTGAAGATTATATTTCTTATTAATACTTGTATTTTACGAGAGAGTAATCTGTAATCTTTCAAACACTTGATGCCATTACATGCCCATCGAAATAGTGATGTTATGTCTCGCAAAAGTAGTGGTGGTATTGAATGGGATGTAGTGATCGGCTCGCGGATTGCGTGCCATTGCTATCAGAGAAATGTTGTTTTAAGCGATATATGTATTGAAAACTTATAGCCCTAATTGAAAGCGAAAAATATAAGCGAAAGATTTTTTAAGGCGAACATCAATTCGAGCGCAACAATCAGGTCTCCCATTATTAGGACTGACAGCTCCGGTAATAGTCTAATAAATTAAGTATATTTTATGAGTGGATTATAGAAAATTAGAAAAATGATGACCGAAATGGCAGACAATCGCCCGAAACAATAGTCTCCCATCTCTACACTACTCTCGCTTTATCTGAAAGTAAAAATATTTTAAAACTAGAATTCGTATAATCATAATAAAATAGCAATGACTTCACTGGTGTTAACACCTCTCGCCTCGTAAACTGCGAGTGCAATGTTATTATTATTACACAATTATTATTTGTAGACTTTTCTCTGTATGTGTTTTAAATGACAAACACTTTTTGTTTTCCTCTCTCTCTCCGGCTATTAAACGCTTTTTTGTGTTTAAATAATTTTCTCGTTATAACTATTTGTCTCACAAAACGAATTCCTATGAATACAAAAGACATTTGAAGAGATGAGGAGAGAGAGAGAGAGAGAGAGAGACTATTTTTGAGCAATAATTTTATGTAAATCTATTCTCTCTTACATTCTGTGATCGAGTCTCCGAAACTAAAACTTCAATTTAATATAATATTTCTTATATTTGATTATGTATTGAGAATACAATTTTCTCGGAATTCTCTACTTCTCTCTCACCACTGGATCTGCCTCTACCGGCGCTGTCAACTGATAGCATCATTATTATCAATCAACTGATACACACACACATAGCACAGCACCGGGCAATTCACAGCCTTAACGTTTGATATCTTTACGATTGCACGTGTGTTACAGACAATTGCCAACCAAACACAACATAATCGCAGTCAAAGTCGTGGGTCTCAAATCAAAGCCCTACCATTCATTTAATAGCGCAAAAGATTTTTATATTTTGATTTTTGTTGGCTGTTCACTGAACGTACCGGTGCTGCCCTATTATTCGCGAGCACTTGACTCTCATTCACTGGCATAAAGTTTGCTATTATAATACATAATTGTGATCCATGCTCCCGACGTATATTGTATACAACATATAATATTTGTTACCGTATATTGTACATACATATACTGTTGTATATTATAGATATTATATACCTGTATATATTCGCATACAATTTATTTTGTTCACTGGTGTTTGTGCCCCAAAGGCACTCATGACAGCACTCTTTCACGGAATACCAGCGCTGACTTTATTTCAATTTTTTGCTCCTCTTTCTCGAGCTCTGACTACCGGCCCCCTCGCTCTCTCTCACTCTATCTCCCTGTCCCCTCTAATGGCACTCAAAATGCTTCGGCATTACAATTCTTATGAGCTCCTGATAGCTCCCGATTTGCCATACATTTTGTTATAGCACTCGGCTTTTGTGTGGATCCATAAGATAGTGACTGCGAGAGAGAGAGAGAGAGAGAGAGAGAGAGAGAGAAATATCTTTATTTTTTAGACATATTTCTCTATCTCTCTGTCCCTTAATTATCTAATTATTTATCGTATTCTCTCTGCCACTGGTATAAGAAAAAAGTATTTCCCAATAAACAAGTTTTTTGAGTTCGTTATAAACCGTACGGAAAGCCTAATATGAGAGATCCCATGCAAAGCTAGAAAACTAAAAAAGAAATATTTATTTTAATTGACAATTAAAGGGACAGAAAGAAAATAGTTTTCTCATATATGCTGAGCGTTTGATTTTCAAAGCGTTTTCAATGAGTTGTGAATAATTGAGTTCTTTCTCTCTCTCGGAGACTAACAGTTATAATGAGCTTTAAATGTATATTAGCTATGAGTCCGAAATCGTTAAAAACGATTTTATTTATTATCCGAAAAGGCTGTGTCCATTAGGTATCGATATTTACATTGCTATTATATACGGTATGAATGTATGTATTGGGTGGGCATAACTTTAGCCCAACACACAAAAACTGGCATATCTTATGCAAAGACATGTAAAGCAAAAAGTTTTTGAACAGAAATATGTTTCTTGTGCCCTGACATCAGACATAATAATAATAACTTTGCGAGAAAACGCCCACAGATTTAGAGCCTTTTTAAGGAGTATTTTCTAATTTGTATTAAACACTTGCAAATATCAAACCACATCCAGTAGTTGTCATATGCAAACGGATGTCTCACACCGGGAGCTTAGCATACTTGACACGAACGCAAACAACATATACTGTATATTCTTGTATAATAAATAATCTCTAAATATGAATTCCCTTTTCTCTATCCCTGTGCCCAAACAGAGTACGACATCCAATAACTACACGTGCGAGTGTCCGCTCGGCTACTCCGGCAAACACTGCGAGACGATGGCCAGTATCTGCACAAACAACCCGTGCTCTAACGGTGCCACCTGTCTGGACGGCCCCAGTGGCTACCTGTGCATCTGCAAGCCTGGATATGAGGGCGAGCACTGCCAGAAACGGCAGACCGATTGCGACCCCAACCCATGCAATAATGGTTAGTATACACAGAGTTTTTACGCTTTAATATTGCATAACAGTATAAATGTCAGGAAATCGCAGATTACACGCGAAAATCATTACTATATTTTCGCCACAAATATATGAAAACATAAATTAAATGCAAATATTTTTTGTTGTTATTGCGTTGTGTTTAGGCGGCAGTTGTGTGACTGTGGGAGCGGACCAATACGAGTGCAGATGTCGGGCCGGCTATACTGGCGATCACTGCGAGATAAACATCAATGACTGCGACGCCAACCCCTGTCTCAACTCCGGCACCTGTATCGATGGCGAGAACACCTTCCGCTGCCTCTGTGTCCCCGGTTTTATCGGCGACTTGTGTCAGGACAATGTGGACGACTGTCTGGCCAAGCCGTGCGCCAACGGCGGCCAGTGTCTCGACCTCGTCAACGACTACCAGTGCGAGTGCGGCCCGGGATTTGCCGGCAAAGACTGCTCTCTCAATCTGAACGAATGCGAGTCCAACCCGTGCCTCAATGGGGGTCTCTGTGTGGACGGTGTCGACGAGTACGAGTGCCGGTGCCCTTCCGGCTACACAGGGGACAGGTGTCAGCAGCCGGTCATCACATCGAAACTGTCGCAAAGTTTAACGTCAAACACGTTGAACGACTCGGCGGTGGCGCCGCCAACGGTGGCCGAAATCCCGGAACCCCTGACCACCAAACAGTGGGTTGTGATCAGTCTGGCGTCGGTGGCCGTACCCGTGTTGACCGCCATCGCCGCCCTTTCCATACTGTACTGTAAGCGGCGTAAGAGTCGACTCCAGTCGCTGAAGCGTAAGGACGAGGAGGAGGTCCGGCGACAGAACGAGCAGAACTTCGTCACCTCAATGAACAACAAGTGCGCCGACGGCCAGTATATGGCACCGAACGCCGGGTGCGATGTGATAGTGAACGCGTTGGACAGGCACTCGTCGCTGAGCCACTTGGCCCGCGGCGGCAAAAGTGCGACATTAAGTAAACTAACAAATCACGAGATTTACGACTCCATACAAAACGTGAATTACCAGAAACAACAGCAACAACAACAGCACCGGCAGCTGTCTGTGAACGAGAAGTACGCGACCCTCGCGTCCCTCAAAAAGACTGTACCGAACAGTAGTAACAAAGTGCTGAACACTGTGTGCACGGCAGTGGACAGTAGGCCCGTAGTCAACAACAAACTGTGCGCCGATAGCGCCGGCAAAGTGATGGCGAACAACCATTACGACAACAACAGCCATCATCAGCACCACTACGCCAGCCATTTAGTGGTGTCTCAGTCGCCAATGAATGCCATGCATCACAGCCAGCAAAACAATATCACTAATCATATGAACAGCCAGCAAATACTGGAAAGGAGGGGTAGCCTACCCCAGCAGCAGCACCCACCCCCACACCATCAGCAAAATGTTACAAAATATAGTGTTTTACATGAGTTAAAAGTCTAATCACTTCGTTCTAATCGCTATTTGTTTTTATTAATATATTAATTATCAATTATATATCTATTTGTGAATCACAGTGAAATCACCCCGACACAATCGACAAACAAATAACAAATAACAGTGTAATTGAATTATATCTATATATAATTGTGAAACCAAAATATTATTTAATTGTTTGTGTTATTAGTATTATATATACTTATATTAAAAGTAGATATTGAAAATCTCTACACAAAATATTATGATTATAGAGAGAATACAATTATAATGATATCAAAGAGGACTATGAATTGATAGTAAGAATGATAGTGAATGCGAATGAAGATTATTATTAATTATGAATTAATTATTATTGATTATTTCAATGATTTTTTTGTGTAAAACTTAAATTACATTACCATTATTTGTAAATTCATATGATCTCAAACCTCCTCCCCCCCTTAATCGTATCTATTACAAAAGTCATGTTTGAATCAATATATTTTTTAATAATTATTATTTATTTTGTAAAATACAACTTTTTTTTCTCCCCCAACGCTATGATTATGTCAAACAAAACTCGACTAAATTGTAATTAATATCAAACATAACTATATATATTATTATAATTATGAAAAAAATTATATTTGAATTTGTGTTAAATTTAAAAAATTAATTAATTGATGAAAAAATAAATTATTTCATTTAAAAACAATGTCTGCTTATTACCGGTATTATAATGTTTCTATGTTACATTTTTGTTATGTTTTAAGGTGCGGCTCCCACCTAAAAACACTTGTTAGCATTTTATGATATCATTTCTTAGAAACAAAAAGTAACCGAAAAATTTCTATAGAAAAGCCTATTATTTAGTATTTATAAGGCAATTGGTTTCGTATTATGATTATTATTAATTGGTTTTCTTTATATTTATTATCTATTTTACAATTGAGTCAAAAAACCTTTTGAAATACTTTCAATAGTTTTTTGAATGGATAGCTAAGACTTTTCAATGAGTTTAGTAGTGTTTTTGATGGTGTCATGTATTCATGGGTCGGCTTTACGTTTGAATATCTAGAAAATGTTTTCTGAGCTTAAATTGACATCACTTTTACAGAGATATTTGTGGCATTTCGGCACATCATAATGTCCTACAAGACTACATGAATACACCTAATAATCTATTGGACATGTGTTGTATTGGCCCGGGATTTATATTACTATGGATTTGCTTGTGATAGGCCTTTGTTTGCGAGCCTCTCTAATGGTAATGATTTATGGGTGCGATTGACATTCAATGGCATTCAATACTCTCAGCCATGTCTTTAGGACATAGGGTATTGTGAACCCTATTGTCAGTACAAGACGTTAATGTGTTTTGTTCATTAGCGATCATCCCAAACCCTAATACCAGTCCCTTACAAGCACTCGCACTAAAGTATCTTTTATGTGTCTTAATTTACAAACTATTTTTTATACTGACTATTTTTTGCAGGCAAAATGTATCGACAAATTCATCAAATAAATTGTACGTTGACCATAAACTGTTTGTGCTGGAAAACTTAATTAGCCCTGTACTTTATTTTTGATTTTTTCGCTGAGGTATTCATTCATTTTCAGTCCCCAATCAATCAATTTCTATCACTTATTCTTTCACACGATTTTCATTGAATTTTTAAGTCTTATGTTTTTGTTTCCCAACATTTTATGTATAACTTATTTGGTATACATTTTTTTTCATGCGATAATAAAAGGTGTATAAAATATTTATTTGTTTTAATATGAGTTTTATTAATCAATTTGTTACAGAATTATCATTTTTCGTATAGTTTATTAAAGTAAAAATAAAACTAAATTTCGCATAATTAAAATTATATTATTTAATCGCAAATTGTAATCAACAAAATAGCAACAAAACTGCACACAAATTGCCAAATATTTGGTTTCCAAATTAATGTAAAACTTGTATTTTTTAATTTTATGTAGTAATTTAATTTGCTTTTAATTAATTATGTTAATGTCTTTTGGACATTATTATCGCGAAAACCTCTTTTCAAACTTTTTTCATTAAATTAAAAGGGAGGGAAAGGCTGTACAGTATATATATTTTCCGAAATACTGTCTAATCTTTCACAAACACAGAGTGAGAGTAAAAAAAGATTTACTGAAAATTTCTCAAAACAAATAACAAAAACTTGTGTATTTCACTTTATACCTGCTAAAAACTTTGCTTCATTCATATCAATCTCTAATATAATGTTATTACTGGTCGTCTCGAGTATCATAAGTAGACAGTTATCTGTGTTGAGAGCCATAGACTTCTCTCACTCCATACCGGGCCATACATTTCATTTTCATTCACAGGTAATGGCTGTGCGTTTTCGCTACTCCAGTAGTCATGGCTTAATAGCACTTATAGTTAGTGCTCATAAATATGATCGCAACTGAAAGAGAGAGAGAGAGAGAGAGAGAGAGAGAGAGAGAGCACTGTATATAATCAAGAGTTTATATGAGAAAAAAGTGATATCCAAAAATAAGAGTCAAATATTTTTTCACAGAATTTCATAGCAGTTATGACACTGACAATAGGGTTCACAATACCCTATGTCCTAAAGACATGGCTGAGAGTATTGAATGCCATTGAATGTCAATAGCACCCATAAATCATTACCATTAGAGAGAGAGAGAATAAACTGATTCACTTAAGAGAGCGGAGAGAGAGAGAGAGAGAGAGAGAGACTTTACTTTAATTTTCGTTATGAGCTTAAAGTTTGTGCACAAAAAACACTACTTCTTCACTAGTTTTTTCTTATTTTCGCTGTCAGTTTTGACTGAAAACAAGTTTTTAAAAACTCAAGAAGTTTTTTCTCTCAGAGATTTTTTCGCTGCAGAGGCACTGAAACACTCAAAGGGGATACGCATGGGTTGGTGTCGTCGCACGGGAAGTGCTGGTCCATCAAAGACACCAAAATTGAGTACATTTTTGGAGAGAGAGAGAGAGAGAGAGAGAGAGAGAGTCTCTCTTTTAGTGTATGTGTCTCATAGTCTTTAGTCACATAACTATACCTGAGTTTTCTCATGAAAAATGTTGAACGCATTCATTGAAACTTTAGGTGACTTTTCTTTCTATCTCTCAAACATATATAACTTTGTTGTCATTGAAAGTCATAACTGCTATGAAATTCTGTGAAAAAATATTTGACTCTTATTTTTGGATATCACTTTTTTCTCATATAAACTCTTGATTATATACAGTGCTCTCTCTCTCTCTCTCTCTCTCTCTCTCTCTCTTTCTCTCTCCGCATTCACTCACTCACTGGAAAGTATAAGTTATTTAATTTATTTAAATTAATTTTCCAACCTTTCTTTCTATGAGCACATTTCATTGAAAAAGTGTAGTTTGGGTTAATTATTACAAAATGAAATTCTACGCTTAACTTAAAGTCAATAAATAAACAAAAATTGCTTTTTCTGAAACATTGCGGCAATAAATTTCTTAAATACCACTATTGGGTAACCAATGGTTGGGCTAATTGGGCGATACTTTTCAATACAAATAATCGGCAAATTTTTAGGGGAAACTTTTTTCCGTGTAAAATATATTTAGTGAATCGATATTATCATTGATTTATGAAATACTAAATCACCAAGAATATATTATGTGTATATTTATTCAATCCTTTTATGAGCCGGTAATGAACCACACTCATTTTATGGCCTTGAATTTAATGGAAATATTACTTGACTTTTGGGATAAGGGTTTTGGAAAGGCATATACCCAGGACCGGTATCCTAATGTACAGTATATTGTGAGTGGTGGTGGCAAAAACAGTAGTCAATAATCACCACTTTATTATATGCCACAAGTTTTGCGAGAACTGGTATATATTTCGTCTGAAACATTGAATCCAAATGTAACCAAAAAAATAGTTGTAAGAAAGCAAGCAAAAAAATATGATAAATTGTTTACTAGAGTAATACTTTTGATAAAATAAATTATTTCTCATATTTGAGACCCTTATGTACACTAAACGCTAAAATGACAGCAAAATGAGTGGAGAATTTCAAGTAATGTTTTTTGTTTTGGTGTAAAACTTAATTACATTTTCATTAAGACTTATACCAAGAAGTGGGCAATAAATTCATATGAACTCAAACTATATGCGCTTATCTTATCTAGGAAAGTCATGTTTGAATATAAATATATATTTTATAAATTAGTATTGATTTTTGTAAATATAATTATTTGTCTGATATTTGGAAAATTGTGATTCATATCAGTAAATGACTATAATTTATAAATAAAAGTACTATATTTGATTTGATGGCAAAAATGTTTAAATTAATTAATAAAAATAAATTATATGTTATTTTCGTATTCGCTAGAAAAATTATGAGTAAGATCCGGTAAAAGGTGTTTTAAATAGTGGGTAAAAAGGGAATGTTGTAAAACATAACTTTGGAGCAAAGCCGCAGTATATTTACCTAAGATTCAAAATTGTTAGTCATTTTATCACTAATCTCTTGTCAAATAATTTTTGATGAAAACATATTCATCGATTCATTTGAAAAAGTATATAAAAATTAAATGAATATTTTCAAAACATTCATGCAAAATACTTTTGATTAATACAAATATGACTCAAATTAAAAATAAATTCAATAAATAAATCATAGTTTAAATAAACACCTTGCTATTACTTAAATTGAATCATATTTATTCTGTATTTATTCAAATGAATCGATGAATATGTTTTCATAAAAAATTATTTGACAAGAGATTAGTGATAAAAATGACAACAATTTTGAATCTTAGGTAAAGAAACTGCAGCTTTGCTCCAAAATGATGTTTTACAACATTCCCTTTTTACCCACTATTTAAAACAGCTTTTACCGGATCTTAATTATGAGCCATCAAATATTAGGTGGGGTCACAATGCACCTAGTTAAGAGCTTTAGTTTTCTCATACAATATTAGTAATAGGGACTGGTATTTAAAATTCCTGACACCATTCATAATAGCC